AATTGTACCACATATATAACTCGAAGGACCATAGAAACGCCGAGTTGTAAATATAACGAATTTATTGTACAACTTACAACTACGACCTATTCTAATTTATTATAAATATTGATTTTTATTAATGTATTATGAAAATAACTAAAGTCTAGTTACTCTCAGCGAGTCTACAAAAGAACTGTTCTATCAAACTTAAAATTTTGTACACTAGATTCCGAAATCGACAAATTATCCCTCCCAATAACGAGGTTATTGACGGTAATATCAATGCACAATATACTAACCATGGGATAAACCCTCATTTGTGCTTCTGCGAATTTGCCTACGTGACCGTAGATTTCGGAAATATATTTAAGCCCAATAACAATAAGCTTTACACCAAAGGTATAATCAAATATGAAAATGTTTATGTCATAAAGTCCCTGCGTCGGCATATCGCAAATAAGATTTCTTAACAACGTATGCATTTTTATTAAATCAACCTCTTGTTCTAAATGCCCCTAACAGTAATTGTCACATCTATATCATATATCTTAAATAGTAGTTATGTCTTCTTGCCAATCTTCACAAAACCAGTATTTCACCCCTTCTTGTAAATTTTCCACTTCTTCCTCCTGCCAGAATACCGTACTTCTTGGTTTTGTCACAAGTACCTTTTCTATTTGTTCTCCCTTTCATTAAACTTTTCTTACATTTTTCTTTTTTGTGCCTCTAGTCTGCCGTATCTAATTTTCTTAGGTTTGTGATGGTTGTAAAAATGTCTGAAATATTGTAATTTAATTCGGGGTATCACCTTTTTCTTTTAGAATTTTTAAAAACCTAAGTAGCGTTTTACTTCTAGAATAAAGTAGGGGAGACCGGGGATCNAAGGATTTGGAGGAATAATGATCTGGTCTATCGACATGGACGATTTCAGGGGACAGTGCGGGGCTGGGAAATATCCACTCATTAACGCGATGAGACAGGAATTGGATGGCTATAAAGTAAAATTGGAGTACGATGGACCATATGAAAGTTCGAATGCCAATGGCCAATATACTACAAAAGATCGTAAGTATTGCAATTCTTTGAGATAAGTATTTTTAGAAATTTAATAAATAACACGATGGAACATTTAGAGACCATCAAAATTAGTACATTTGAAAATATTTAAAAATGCATCAAAACATTTTTGGAGCATTCTAGAACAACTTGGAGCAATTGGCGATTGAATAGGGGAGTAGATTGGATTACTTTAATTAACATTAACATAGCCCATTCTAGTGCGTTAGATAGCTGCTTTTAAAGTAGCGATAAACAAAATTTGATTTGGTCTTGCAGTGTTTGTCTTGGTCTTTATTCTCACAACGAACGACACTGTTTTCTTTAAAAGTTCTGCCAAGTTCGCATGTATGACAGATCATTTCATCATTTAAGATAAATATTATGTTAGTAAATAAAAAACTTTGTGCTTAAAAGAATTATTATAAAAAACGTAAGTATCAAATTAAATGTATAGGACCAAGATCAACATGGAGAGTAGGGTTTCGTCTTGGTCTCACTTTACTCATCACTATATTAAACCTATACGAGATCTGTTTAAAAAGTATCGCGAATTTTGTGTTTTTTCAAAAATTATTTATTTATTCACGAACATCCATTTTGTCCCCTTCAAAGTAATCCCAACCAGATATTGGGTGTGTTCCGAAATATAACCCAACATACTGATCAGTGCTGATAACGTCATAAATCGACGCCATATTGTACTGGTGAGACAAATGTGATGTAGTGGTATATCAAACGGGCGTGTGTGCATCAGACTTTGAGGATTTTTTTATTGTAACAAACTTTTAGAGCAAAATTATTGTAAACGAGCACAAACACTATTGTCAATATGGCGTCAATTTGACATCAATGCACTGGCCAGTATATCTCGGGAACGAATCAACAGTATGGCGTCGATTCATTACGTCATCAGCACTGGTCAGTATGCTGGGTTATATTTCGGAACACACCCATTATACACTTGTGCCAACGTTCTTTCTAATCCTCGAAGCACTTCAAAAAATCATTTTATAAGATCTTGTTCAGCTCCTCCTTCGATGCCGTCTTTATCTCCTCAATCGTAGCGTAGGGTCATCTTTTCAAGAGCCCCTTCAGTTTCGGGAGCAAGAAAAAGTCACAGGGAGACAGATCTGGGGAATACGGTGGCTGCGGCATTATTAGCGGGTCGTTTTTGGTAAAAAATTCGCGCACAAGCAACGATGTGAGAACAGGGGCGTTATCATGGTGCAAAAGCCAATTTTGGTTATTCCACAAATCCGGGCATTTTTGGCGGATTGCTTCGCGCAAATTGCGCATAACTTGGAGGCAATATTTATTATTAACCGTTCTACCCTATGGTAAGAACTCATAATGCACCACGCCCCTGAAATCAAAGAAAACCTTAGTAAAACCTTCACATTCGACCTAACTTGGCGCGCTTTTTTCTGTCTTGGCTCGTGCGGCAGCTTCCATTGGGATGATTGAGCTTTAGTTTACACGTCAAAACCATAGACTCATGACTCGTCACCAGTTACGATCCTCTAGAGCAAATTTGGGTCGTCGCGGACAGAGTCTAACAACAGTTAAGTGTTTTGGGTCGAAATTGAGCAATTTTGGTACGAGTTTCGCGGCGACCCATTTCACGCCCAAGTCATTGATAAAAAACGAACGGCAGGAGCCAATCGATATGTTTAAGTCCTCAGCAACTTCTCTAACGGTGATTCGATGATTGGTCAATACCATTTGGTACAGATTCTTTGATCCATTTTTTGGAATAGGAATTTTTGGACGAGTCAAAACACGTGCAAACAAAGCAGCTGTCAAAAATTAGCTGAACGTTCAACATGGCCGAACTTGTCGGTATAAGTAAGAGACATGGGTACCAATATAGCGCCACAAAAAAATCAAAAATCGAATCCCGTGGAAATTCAAAATTCGCGATATTTTTTGAGCTAACCTTCAAGTAACACTTCAAGTTACATTGAAATAGATACTTCACTGATGCATATTGGAGTGTTTTAGAGCATCTTGGAAAGTTTTGTTCTTGAATTTCAGCAAACGAAGTAACATGTGAAGAAGAAGATGGCCACATCAGTTACCATCCGGACAAACAGGATTGCACCCACTACTACATGTGCGAAGGTGAAAGAAAACATCATATGCCGTGTCCATCGAATCTCGTGTTCAACCCCAACGAAAACGTGTGCGACTGGCCTGAAAACGTCGAAGGGTGCATGCAGTTCACACAAGCCCCTCCGACAAGGCGATAAGACAAAAGTGATAACAAAAATGAAGAAAACAAAGACAGAGAGCAAGTGGTACATTTGTATTTATGTAGTTCATTGGTTGTTGAACGTTTGAAGAAGACAAACGGGACTGCCTAAAGGTATTAAGTTAAATTTTTTTTTATGTATAGATATCTATTACCTATAAAAAATGAGCAATATAACAAACACTCGAGCCATAGATGAGGCTTAGGTATATATAACATTGTAAGTCTCGTGCTTATAAATAAGGAATAAGGCTTAATTTAAAAACAAAAATGATAGGTACTAATTAATTATTATTCATTGATGAAAGCAAATTTAAACAGTAACGATTATTTTTACCTTTTACCTAAGGTTTGTTGAAGCGATACGAAGTTAAATAATATTCGAAGATAACATCCTTAGTTCAAGTACTTAGTCCTAACTTAAACAAGTTCAGTGAAAACGAATGTACCCAGCCTTACCTAACCTATATTCTTCTAAATTGTCCAATAATATATTTAATTTTGGAAGAGATAGTTAATGGTACCTAAAAAACTACAAAAAGTTAATTTTTACAAAGCTTGATTCTCTTTTTTATCTCTATTTAAGCCTAACCTAAACAAATTCAGTAAAACGGAAATAACCTAACCATACCTAACCTCAATTCTTTTAACTTTCAGTAGGTACAAAAATTTAACTTGATATTTATCTTTGAAAGAGGTAGTTAATCGAAAGTCACCCCTTAAATATATTCTTTGCTACTTGTTTGTGTTATTATTAATTTGTATCGCTTCAAACCGACGCAAGCAGAAATTTTCATCAAATAATTTATTAAATAAAATTATTTTGCCTTATTCAAGAGGATCCCCTTTTAGGACATACGGGAAATATCCACTCATTAACGCGATGAGACAGGAATTGGATGGCTATAAAGTAAAATTGGAGTACGATGGACCATATGAAAGTTCGAATGCCAATGGCCAATATACTACAAAAGATCGTAAGTANTGCTATGTCCCAATTTCGTAAACAAATTAATTATGGTTAAGTGGACGTAATGAAATGATAAGTTATGAGTATAAAAGTAAGGTGTCCCTTGTACAATCCGCTTGTTGTGTACATTGAGAAATTGAATTATTGTGTGTACAATACTATTTTTGTATATAAAATAAATTAATTAAATCTAAAACCTTACGTACACATTCTACTTATTGCATTTCTATAGACAACGTTCAAATCGATCAACGCTTTGTATTTGCACCCCCCTTCCCCGCCAAGAAAGGGATCTGACATTCAAGGGGTTGTTATTCTTTAAAAAAAATTCTATATTGTACTTGGGGACTGAAGAGACGTCTGTATGTCTCTTTTTTGTCGTACCGCTCGGGAATCATTCGTTAGATTTTGATGCAGTTTTCACTGTTACATTATACAGTAAAATTTACGAATGACAGCCTCCGAAGTACCTTGGGCGAATATCGATGGTTTGATAAATAATAATGCTTTAAATATATGAAATTTCTTGAACTCACTTTTTCTTTTTGTGATAATTAACATTTTTTTATAAACATTTAAAGCATATTTTCAAAAATCATTGTTTTACAAAATTTATTTTAAACAGTTTACATAAGCCTTCATAGTATGATGCCATCGATTATATATTCGTGATCCCAAAAACCCCTAAGTTACTAATTTCAATTGATTTTTAATGATTTTAAAACACAATTCCTGGTTACGACGTGTACGACGGTCGCCCTGGGCCCCAGTTACTTTGACTGTACATTCCTGTTCAGCTACCGTCAAAACCCCCGAGTAACAAAACTTTTATCATTATTGACCAAATTGCAAAGTTTTTGAAGTGAAACTTGTTTACGCACGGTAGGGTAAGTTCGTTTCATGCGAGTTACTGTGTAACGAAATCATGCAACGCTGTTGTCCCCCGTTGTCTGTCCCTATGTATGCGCAACGGATTTTAATGCGGTTTTTTGAATAGATAGATAGTAATTCAAGAGGAAGGTTTATATGTATAATAGATGCATAATATAGTAGAGAAACACTGATAATTTTAGAGGTTTGTAATGTGATGTCGTAGATAAACACATTTTTTTGCGCTTACATTGCAAACGCTGGTTGAACCTTACGAGATAAATCAAAATAATATACTACAGTATTGTACACCTTAAAAAGGTCTACAAAAAAGTCCCGGATGGTATATGTCTGTCTCTTAGGGACAACCCACAATAACCATTTTTATCCTTTACTTTTTACGAGAAATAATGGCTTATTTACGAAGCGATTTTAAGCAATACAGCATTAATCCTTATCCAATTGAGTACTTTTAAATACATTGTGCATTTAATATAGATCAATACGTCCCTTTACAGCATGTAGTTTAAATGAATATTTTCGAAGATATTACAGACTTAAAATGCAGGACATAGCGGTTGCGGCGGTACCGGCCGGTTTGTATTATCTAATGACAAAAAAGCGGTGATTGTTGTATATAAAGACATTCTATAGCATATTTACTATCAGCATTGCACCCATGTGAAGCATAGTGTACAAATAATACCATTAAACCAATTCCTTAACCCCTATCCCGGTATGTTTGTGTGAAGTTTCACTTCTGTAGCGTGTTGTATAATTACACGTTGTATTTTTATTTATGACAACTTTGTAATACACTTGCTGCATTTTTCTTATGCACCGAATCAGATACAGAAAACCGCATCTCGATCTAACTTACTGCACAAAAATTTCCCTATTTTTGTGCTTTATAAGAGTATTGCAAACGTATAAAAAGATCATCTATTATTTATTGGTATTATTTGTGGTCGTAATTTTTTAAAAGTGAAAGTACCAAACAGTCTTGTTAAATACACACACACGCCCGTGTATGAGTAGGTCCACTCGTCCTTCATGTGCCCTTTGCGTGTCGTCCTTTTCTAACTGATAAACAAAATAGTTTGCCAGCAGAAAAAGCAAGTTTTTATATCCCACGTGACCACATGATGAAAGGCAAACAATTCTTTACTTTATTGAAACATTAAATCGGTTTGTATCGGGCGTGTTAACAACGCGAGTGTATTCTGTTTAATAATTTGAAATTAGCCGGTATAATATATTATTAAACGGTTCGGTTTGTACGAAACAATTAACAATGCGTCAATGTCGGTCGCTTCGAAACGCGAAAATAGTGTATTTGAAAACGTTTTTGACATTAATTTACTTTCCGATATAGGTACTTACTTATATATGTATAGTGGTGCATTGTGGAACTATGAGATAAGAAGATAAAACGAAGAATCTACCAATAAAAGGTAAGTCAATTTAGTTAATCTTTTGATAGTCATAATATTGGCTAATTTTCCAACGTGGTAGAACTTGTACCTAAGAAACAATTGAAAATGGTAACAATGGTAACAATACTGGTAAAAAAATTCCTTACCTAATAATTTTTACTTAAGTGAGCACAGAAGGTGTTACTACTTACTTTAGGAATTGTACACTTTTGGTTTCTGGTTTGTCACATTTCATATTAGGAAAAATAAATCAATAAAATGCTTATCTTTGCGCTGTTGAAAATACTTTTGATAATGAGTTTGTAGGTTAATGCTGGCCCAGTAAGTACGTATTAATAAAAGTTAATGACAATTCAAATGCAGCTTTTTATTTATTAATTTTCCACAGGAATATTGTAGATTTATTTCATTTGCAATATACTTGAATAATTTATTAAGCTGTTACTCATCTTTTTACAAAAGAATAAATTAAAATTACAATTTTATACACTAAACTTGAATATTCTAGTAATTCATCCTTATCTACTCTACCAGTTGCATTTACAATTAGACCTCTATATTCATTATCGTCATCATAAGGTCGTCAGTCCTGAGATTGGTCACGCACCTCCACTCTTTTCTACCCTGAGCTAATCTTCGCATTTCCCTAAAACTAGAACATCCGTAACTATTTGTTAACAATAATTTGATCTAGGTCTACCTCTCCTCGTGTTAGTCCCCGTTTCTACTTCTAATTTGCCTTTTACTAACCCCTCATGTTTGAGAAGATGTCCTACCAACCTGCAACACCGCATTCCCCTTATCCTTTTACTTAATACTCTTCTTAAAAACATCATAGCTCTCCCCTCTACCCCTATCTTATTTTTGTAATGTTTTAACCCTTTATTCTCATCATCTTCTAAAGCATGTCTTATTCATTTTCACGCATATCCTACATTTTTTCCTCGTCTTTCAACCAATACGTATGTTTTTTACGTTCGAAATACTCAAATTATTGATTCGAACTTTTTGTACAATTGTACCACATATATAACTCGAAGGACCATAGAAACGCTGAATTGTAAATATAACGAATTTATTGTACAACTTACAACTACGACCTATTCTAATTTATTATAAATATTGATTTTTATTAATGTATTATGAAAATAACTAAAGTCTAGTTACTCTCAGCGAGTCTACAAAAGAACTGTTCTATCAAACTTAAAATTTTGTACACTAGATTCCGAAATCGACAAATTATCC